TATATTGATCCATTTTTAGCCATTGTGAATTTCTAATCTATATAAATAACGAGGGCCACCAGCCCGAAACGCGTACGTGTTTATAATATTTTAAATTCATGAATAAATAATATACGGTCGGTATTTTGCGATTAAGAAATGATTAGTCGATGTTTATTCTGATAGATGGTGCAAGCCATCAACATATTTCAGTTACACGATCAGAATAATTTTCCTTTTTTAAAAAAATTAAATGAGTAGTGTTTATTTATGGGTCTGTAGATTTGTTTCGTACATGTTGTATCTTTTAGACTGTATATTGAGATTCAGACAATAACTTTAAAAAATATTTAATACATAGTGACCTTTATTGAAGACATACGAGATAACCAAGTGTGATTAAAATTGCCTTTGTATCATTTAAAAAAGATGACCGGCGACATCAAAGACTTTACATTTCCTCAAGTTTGTGTCCATTTTTTAGTATACACCTATCCCCCGATTTACACGGTACTTGTTCTACATGTTTTCGCTTTTACACGGTTTTACAAATAAGTTTTTTTTTTGTTTTTATCGCACTATATTAAATGCTACTGTGATTGAACACATGCGCTGTGTACACATCTCACGAGGAATCCCGAGCTTATGTGCTGACTACATATTTTAACCTGTCAATGCATTTTATTTTTATTTCTGTGTACACCTATCCCCCGATTTACACGTTTTTCTCAGGAACGTATCTACCGTGTAAATCGGGGGATAGGTGTATATGTTTATTAATTTTGTTACAAAGTACATAAAATATTATGAAAGATTTTTCCGAGAAAGCTTCCGTGAATTCTATTAACAAAAGAAAGTTTGTGCGAAACCTTTTGCTCTTTTGTTATTGTCGCAAGCTGAAATAAGATCCTCTTGAATCATGAATATAAAAATTATTTTTATATCATATACAATTATTGTAGAACGACATTTGAAAATTATCCCGCATGTGTTTCTTTTGAACGAAAAATCGAAATTTTATTTTAAGGAGAAATAACGATTATTTCTAACCTTAAGGATAAAGTATGAAAAGATGAATTGTGAAGAGTAAAGATAAACGGAAAAATAAAAGTGTCCAGGGATGGGAATCGAACCCACAGTTTTCTGCTTACCGGGCAGATGCCATGCTCACTAGGCTACCCTGGACATATTTTTCCGTTCGTAAACATTATCTAAAGTAATTTATAATACAATATAATGCGGCTTATGATTGTAGAACGACATTTGAAAACTATCCCGCATGTGTTTCTTTTAAACGAAAAATTCGATACAAATAAAAATACAATATACAATTATTGCCAAGATTACTACTGATACCAATAATATGTCTTCACCTCTTTGCATACTATAAGCAATATTGGTTAGGAAAACATTCAATAGGGCAGGAACTGCCGCGAGACGATCGGTCTAGATCAGGGGTCGGTAACCTGCGGCTCGCGAGCCACATGTGACTTTGAATGTGAAGCTGCGTTTAGTACTCACATAAATAAATTTTTTATTAATGCTAGTACTATTTATTGTTGACAAGAAAAAAATTTTGGCTCTTTAAAACTTTAAAATTTTGTAAATTGTATTTTTTTACTCTTCTAACTCAAAAGGTTGCCTAAAACCCTGGTCTAGATTATTAGAATTTAGAGAAAAAGTTCTCCTTCCACACCAAGTCCAACAGTTGATCAATCCATCTCACCTTCCTCCACGCAGGTCTGCTTGTCTTCGCCCAGATAGAAGCCATCTGGACAGGTGCAGCGTCCTTCGTCGTGTAGACATGTGTGGGAGCAACGTAGTGGTAGACAGCTCTCTGCACATGTCGTTCATATTGTGAGACGTGAGAAATGGATAAATGATTCTGGAGGCTACTTAAAGTAGAGTTATCTCATTATTCCCTTATATAAATTTGTAGGATGGTTGAAACACGCTCTGGTAAGATGCAAGACCCGGCACAGGAGAGGATCAAGTTTGAAGAGCAGCAACCTGGTGCAAGAATATGCATGTGATTGCTGTGTTCACTTTAGACAGAACATACAAACATGACACAACATAACCATATTCAATTCAGCATTGAACACTTCATTCTGACATAGCTCTCCAGGATTGCTGATATTTGTACAAGTCGTACCTCAACAGTGAGTGCAAAGGAACCAAACGGGACTCTGGTACACTTGTAAGTTCAATGTTGAACTGCCTTATACGTGTGTTAATAAGTGGCGCACCTACATCAGTTACAAACCTTTACAATTATTATAGTCTTATTCCAGGTGTACTTTGTATTTTACCAAATTTTAGTGCAATTTAGAAAACCTTTCTTAGCGCAGTAAAAACAATACCTTTTTTCCTATTAAAAATGAAAAGTTGCAATTGAGTCAATTCTTACTAACAGGTCACCAGCTAATATCTCATAGTTAACATCATGTTATGTTCAAATAAAACCATTCACACAGCGTTGATTCTAAATCCATTATTATCCTTTCTCTTCAATCGTATATTAATATACACAGGCACGCATACATCTAATAGAGAGAAAGGAAGGGAGGATGGTATTCATTTGCAATAAAAGGCATCTCTCCATTAAAATACACTCATAAACAAAATTTAAGGAAGTTGTACCTTTTAGCATGTATATCGGGGGGTCGGTGGAAGGCTGGTTAAGCCGTTTGGTTTTCGACCACTACGACCCGGGTTCGATTCCCGCATTGGACACTTTTTTCTGTTAAAAAAAAAAATGCTCCAATGGCCCCCCCCCCCCCCCCCCGATTCTTGCAAAAGTTCAACCCCACCAGCGAGTGCAAGTAACCAAACGGGGCTCTGGCACATTTGTAAGTGCAAAGTCGAACTGCTTTCACATGAGTAGACATGTGGTGCGCCTACAGTAAAAAGCAGTCGCTAACTACCCACCATGATTATCATGGCCTGTACCACGTGTACTAGGGATAAGCAAAAAAAAAAAAAGCATGTATATCTTTAGTCGGACAATAACTCTGAAAGATATTAGATACACAGTGACCTTTATTAAAGACACACGAGATATAAAAGTGAACAAAAATGCCTAAAAAAAAATCTCAAAAAACAGAGGACTGGATACATTAAAGACTTTTCACTTTCTCAAATCGTGTCCATGAGTGTAATTGCATTACAAATGCATTTATTAAATGTAAAAAAACGCAAATTGAGTTTATAGAATAAGTGATAACAATAATATTTGATAAATTGGAACAAAAAATCTAACTTTGTTGAATGTCTGCTTAAATAGGATCGAGTAAATACGCAGGGCTTCAATGCATTCATTAAAAGGGGAAGGTTCCTTTTTTGCAGCTAAATATCATCTTCCCGCACTTTGATAAGGAATTCTCGCCTAATTTTGGCCCTACCATTTCACCAGATTAACCATCTTTCTGACAGTTTCGTCATATTTCATAACTTCTCTAGTTACAACATATGAAATCGAAGCCGTCCCTGTACTGATGAGAGCCAAAGCTCCCAAACAATGGCAAACAAGTTGACTATTTTTTTCAGAATTTGTCTAAAAAGGGTGTTGTAGCTTATTCTACGAATTTCAGAAAACCATTGAAATATTGAGCATATTATCGAACTCCTATATTCCAATGGTTTCTCAATAAAAAAAAATCCATTAGTCTATTACCAGCAGTTTGCACCAATCACACTCTTCCATTCATTTATCCAATCCTTGCTCCAACATACTTCAATCAATTCACATTTCTCAATAAGAAATCTGTTCTCTTCCCCATCAAGTTATAGATTTCATTTAAAACTTCCAACTTTATCGATGACATCGGAGAAAAAAAAATCAAAGACCATCTTCCAAATGAAGACAGAAACATCATTATTTGTCGATAAAAAAAGGTTTAACTTCTATCCCATCAAATTGGAATTTTTTTTCCTTTCTTCACAAGGATATAAAATTCCCATGAAATGTGCTATTGTTGAGTTTATTTTCATATATAATTTGTTTTAGTAAAAATATAATGTTCAAATATTTAAAAAAACTGAGAGCTTGACTCATCAGTGGTGAATCTTTCCAGCAGTTTCGCCAATTTAATCTACCAGACCGCGCTTTTCAGAGCTCTAATACTGTTTTGGATCATTCTGCTTATATATGTTATACATTGGGGGTCGGTGAAAGGATAGTCTAAACCGTCGGTTTTCGACCACTACGACCCGTGTTCGATTCCCGCATTGGGCAATTTTTTTTCTGATAAAAAAAATGCTACAATGGCCCCCGATTCTTGTAAAAGTCCAACCCCACCAGCGAGTGCAAGTAACCAAACGGGGCTCTGGCACATTTGTAAGTGCAAAGTCGAACTGCTTTTCACATGTGTAGACATGTGTTGCACTTACAGTAAAAGCAGTTGCCTTCTTCTACCCACCATGATTATCATGGCCTGTACCACGTGTACTAGGGATAAGTAAAAAAAAAGTTATACATTGAAGGGTGGAATCTTAGTCATGAAATTTAAGATTATTATAAATATAAGCTTTTAGGACAGTAGAATTACATATAAATAAATAGAAAAAAAAGTACAAAAGTGAAATTGTACTGGGATGAGATGGATACAGTAAGAAAAAGGCATCTCCTTATCGTGAAACTGAAGTGAAAGATGATCAGAAAATTTCAGTGCCACGATAAGGAGATGCCTTTTTCTTAAATAAATAGAAGTTTGGTTTGTGTGTAAAATAAACATTCATGTTTGATGGTGTTATTTTCTATATACTGTCTTCTACAATATACTATAGTACATCGTATATAGACTTAAAATCTATTATAAAGTGATACTTAAAGCCTCCCCGCATAAGTTTCTTTTTTTGTGAAAATCAATATTAATTTCAAAGAGAAATATGTACTATTTCTAACTTTTTGGATAACGTATGAAAAGGTTGAATATATGAAGAGTAATGGTCTATATATGATTGGATGACGTATGAAAGGGTGAAAATGTGAAGAGTAATGGCGAACGGAAAAATAAAAGTGTCCAGGGTCGGGAATCGAACCCACAACCTTCTGCTTACTGGGCAGGTGCCATGTCCACTAGGCTACCCAGGACGTATTTTTCCGTTCGTAACTAATACTTAAAGTAACTTTTTTTGATACAATATAAAGGACTGCGGTGTATGTATGATTATAAAGTAATACTTAAAGCCTCCCCGCATAAGTTTATATTTAAAATTAAACAATTTCTCCTTATTGCAGAGAGAAAATTATTGAGAAGGCGTGGCTCATCAGTGGTGAACCCTTCAAGCAGTTTAATCTACCGGACCGATATGGTACTTGTATTGAGTTTATGTGTAGTTGCTTTAAATACATACATATCAAGAATTATTTTATATTCCCCGATATACGAGAAAAACAAACATCTATATGCTAGTAAAACAACCTTGTAGGTTAAACTGGCGAAACCGCTGGGAGGGTTCACCACTGATGAGCCAGGCCCTTCCAATATATTTTTTCCACCGCAGTAAGAACAGTATTTATTGTTTATGTTTTATATTGGGCTACCAGTAGTATAAACTGTGGTTTTTTCGACAGCTACGACACGGGATCGAATCCCGAAATGGACATTTTTTTTATAATTTAAAAAATTGCTTCATTGAATCCCCGATTCTTGCAAAAATTCAACCCTACCAGTAAAGGAAAGTAACCAAACGGGGCTCTGACACATTTGTAAGTACAAAAGTCGAACTGCTTTTCACACTGTTGTGATATGTTAAATAACATATGTTACGTATTATATTTATTATCTATTATTGACACTATGCAAAATCATGCCATTTGTCAATTGTTTTAAAAACTTATGTAAACTATTTCCTTTTTATCTCTATCTTGTATAAAAGGAGATTGCTAGATTAAATAAACATTCAGTTCAACTTGTAAGCCGGAGCGAGTCTTGTTCAGATAACACATAATCATTACAACATGGATTTAACATATCACAACACACACGTATATACATATTGTACGGTTGCAGTAGAAGAAGTTACTAACTACCCACCATGATTATCATGTCCTGTATCACCTGTACTAGGGATAATTTTAAAAAATGCCTCTAGATATTATACAGTTTATAAAGTCTGTAGAATTTATTGATATAAATATATTTTTATTAAAATGCGTTAAAGTTTTAAAAATTTTAATAGATAATGGGATTTTTCTTAAATGAATTTTACGGGTTTATTTTAAAATGAACTCTCTTTACTATGCAAATCCCCTTTGAAAAAGAACTTTTCAATCGAAAATCTCATTTTTAGAGAACTCTCCAATATCCATAAAAATATTGACAACAACTTCCATAAAACTACTTTTAATAACAATTTTTCTTTTTAATCTCTTCTGAAACTAATAACAGTTGACTCTTTAATCCTAAAAATAATTAAAATATTTTTATTGAGAGAAAAAAAGAGTGATTTTATAAATATTTTTATATATATATATATAATAAATGAACATTATTATCTAAGTCTTAATAAAGAGAGTAACATTTGCTTGCAATTTTAAAACAACAACAAAAATTTTAAGGAAATCTCAAAATTGGAAATGGCTTGAGGGCATTTTTAAATATTACACCTCAGAATCTTTATAGGAGTTGTGTGGCGTCTTTAAGAAAAGTGGAAGAGTTTCATAAGAGGAGCCTGAAGGTAAGGATGTCTTTTGAAAGCATCTTGAATTAATAATTATATTGACTCTCTTCAAACCGAAAACACAAGTTTCTGAGTTTTAAAGCTTAGATTTTATGTTGATGTTAACAAGTTATGAGGTTTTCCTCTCTCTAATATGGATTTTATAGAGCACAACTGTCGTATATATATTTATTTTATTTAACAATTGCAGAATACACGCTATATCCACAAATGGGATATTTGCGTGTGAAATATATACATTTGAATGAAAGAAAAAGTAGTTTAAAGGGATATGTACATATTTACATATCAGTATGCAAATTGATTACATTAGTAGTCACTTATTTAGTTAAGTACATTCTGCAGAATTTGTTGAATCTTTGGTGTATGTCCTTAGTGTAGACCACATGTTGCATATTTGTTATGGGAAGTTCTGTGCTTCACTTCCATCAATAATTGACAATATGACCCAGAATAAGTATATTGCAACGGCGTTTTATGGTTTACACAAGTCCATATCTCAGAAGAAGGCCAAGTGACACTCACTCCTCACTTTCTTACTGCTACTCTTTTTGTGTTGTTTTTCTTGCTTCTCTCTTTCTCTTTCCTATTTTTTTTTCTTTTTCTTCTGTCTATATCGTTGTTTCCTTTGTCTCACTGCTTTGTTCTTATGCATACCTCTGGTGAATCCTGTATAGGGTCAGTGACCCTAAATAAAGGCTTTTTGTTGTTGTTGTTGTTATGGGAAGTTGATTTAGTTCCCTAAGGTCAGCGGGCAGTCAGTTAGTAAGTGTCTGGGGTTCTGTTCTTCGCCTCCACACGAACATCCAGGTGATTCAGCTTTGTAAATTTTAAACAGGTATGAGTTGAAGTCACCATGTCGTATAAATGGTATATAAACAACAACGTTTTTATCAAGAGTTATTAAATATAATTTTGTTTATGAAAAAGGAAAATGGAGGAAATTTATAAACCATCGATTTCCGACAGTCACGAACACGTGATCGAATCCCGCATTTAACACTTTAAAAAATGTTCTAATTGTTACCGATTCTTGCAATAATCCAACCTCACCAATGAGTGTAAGTAACCAAACGGTAACATTCGGGTCTAAATTGTTTAATACTTTAATACACAATACGTAGCTGACTTGTATCTGGACAATAACCAGGCGAAGCCGGGTTAATTTGGCTAGTATCACATATATATATTAAATAATACAAAGGTATATACTGGATTGAATAAAATATTTATTTTCCAATATTTCAGTTGGCTGAATGCCAACCTTTATCAAGGTATTACATTTTTGTATATATTGCCAAATAAATCTTTTATTCAATCCTATATATGCCTTTTTATTATCTAATGATTTAAGTATGGATTGGTCTATTTTCAGAACATATATATTTATAAAGACAAAGGTCGCCTCTACCGTCAAAATAGACGTCAAAGCTAGATTTCCATATATATATATATGTGTGTTTGTGTGTTTATAATGTATATATTATTGTTTTGTCTTCTACTATATTTTTGATTATATTTTATTAATTATATTCTTTTTTTAAGTATATTTTAATATAAATACCGATTGGGAGGGTTCACCACTGATGAGCCGGGTCCTCCCATTAATTTTTCCATTAAAGTAAGGACAGTAGAAATTGTTTATTTTTTAAAAAGAATCATACGCGTCTATAATAGTTTCGAATTTTGAAAACAACGATTTAAATGAACAAAAAATGATATATCATATTGATATTAAATAACAATTTTGAAGTTTTTTTTATCGAATTGAAAAAGAAAAACCTTACATTTTCTTTAAATATATTTCTTTTTATTCACAAAAAAATATTTTTAAAAAACGAGATAAAAAAACTACGATAAGTAAATGTTAGACACTTCTTTCTTTTATAACAAAATATTTTAGAAATTTAAAAATATATAATAATATTGATACTATTAGTTAAAAGTGTAAACTAACAACAACAACCAAAGTTTTTTTTTTTTTTAAAACACAATTCGAACAAAATTTCATATAGGGGCATAACAAAAAAATATTTTCAAACGAAAAGAGCAAAATCTTGTAGTGGAAAAAAACCCCGAAATTTTCTTTATACAAAAAATGTTCGGATCTTTTTTTACGAGATATTTAAAAAAAAAATTGAGACTTCCAAAATGTGTAGAAATACGGAAAAGGCAGATATATTAAAAAAATATAGAAAAACGTATTCAGTTGACTAGATATGCCTCCAACTTTCTAAAAATTCTCTTATATCGGGTGTGTGTAAGGGTTTTCTATATTAAATCTGGAGTCCTCTTGGATATTTCTTTATTGTTTTACTTCCGTCGGTTATTAATAGATTGTGGAAAATTTTCTATTATAAACAGACAGCGAGCATTGCTCTATGCAAATCGATTTACATACCACAGCAATATCAACACACATCACGAAATCCATAGTCTTTACCTAGTTGAGATCTGTCATCCATTCATCAAAGGATTTCTTTAATATTTTATTTGTAATTTAAAAAATGAATCATATTTTCAATAGTTTTTGCATAGAATATTTTATAAATTTTATTTCCGTTATAAGTAAATAAGTTTTAGGGTATATATATTTAAAGTATTTCTCAGAGAATTTTAAAAACTTTTTTCAAGTGTAAATATGTAAATATACCACATATATATATATATATATATATGAAAAAATAGCACAAATGTAACATTGTACTGGGATAAGGTGCATAAATTAAGAAAAAGGCATCTCCTTATCGTGCAACTGAAAGTTGCTGATGGCTGGCGCCATCTATCGGAATAAATATCAACTATTCTCGTTGATTTTTAATTATTCCAGAATTGGCCAAATACCCATTCTTGGTTAATCAAGAAAAGCTAACCACGGACGCGTTTCGGGCTGTTGGCCCTCATCAGCGTGGTGCAAGCTGTACCTCAACGACCAAAAAATTGGTCATTAAGGCATCCTGAAAAATCATGAAACGGGTAGTTAAGGCCAGATTTGCGTGAGGACGCTAAACAATATGAAAAAATAGCACAAATGTAACATTGTACTGGGATAAGGTGCATAAATTAAGAAAAAGGCATCTCCTTATCGTGCAACTGAAAGTTGCTGATGGCTGGCGCCATCTATCGGAATAAATATCAACTATTCTCGTTGATTTTTAATTATTCCAGAATTGGCCAAATACCCATTCTTGATTAATCAAGAAAAGCTAACCACGGACGCGTTTCGGGCTGTTGGCCCTCATCAGCGTGGTGCAAGCTGTACCTCAACGACCAACGAGAATAGTTGATATTTATTCCGATAGATGGCGCCAGCCATCAGCAACTTTCAGTTGCACGATAAGGAGATGCCTTTTTCTTAATTTATGCACCTTATCCCAGTACAATGTTACATTTGTGCTATTTTTTCATA